ATATATATGAATATAAAATTTGTTTGAATAACTATTCTTCTAACTATATACGAATAACGTTAAATTTATTCACAATTTGATTTTAATTATAATTAATTGTTATCAATAAAATACGTAGTAAATAATGAAGGCGGTAAAACCGGATGATTTAAATAAAACACTTATTTACGTCATTTTTCAACGAATTGATTTATCTCCATTGCATAATAATGAATCTGAGAAATTATCATGCGAAAATATACTTATGTTAAACACATCTAATGACGTAATCGAATAACAATTTGCAGTTTATAAATACGATCGACTGAGAAAAAAGCAATCATATTCGTTAGTTAGTTTCTCTCAATAACAAGAACAACATCATCATCATCTCGTGTTAATTAATATTATTAAACAATCTATTGTTATATAAAAATATCAAATCGATCTACGATATTAATTTTATTTTTATAATCATCATTGTTCACGTAAGTACATTGAATTAGTATGATAATATATTAAATGATTAATAAAATATTTTAAAATTGATTAAATGAAATGATTATATTATTCAATAATATTTTGATTTAATTTTATTAATAATTATCTATCTTCTGCAGATAGAAACGAAATAAAATACGTGATACACAAAAAAAAGAGAAAGATTATTTTTCTTTTTTGATTACACAAGAAAGAGAGAGATAATAATTAATAATCAATATGCGTTATTTAATAACAATACTTTACACAATATTGATTTGCATCATTTGTGCAACGATCACTGTTGGCAATAGAGATGTTGAAAGAAAACCTGTACCTGCGTTTAGAATACCACAAAGAGGTTGTCCACCTGGACAAAGAATTGATGTAAATGGTATATGTAGATTAGTAATAAATGTATAATTAATTATGGTATTGTTACATTATGTTTGTGTTATGTATTAAAATGTCCCATAAGTTATTTCCGTGCTACGCTATTTCGTGTTTCGAGTGTGTGTGTGTCTGTGTATTTTTTACTTTATTGAATCAAAAAAAATATAAAATAAAATAAAATACTTACAGCTTATGTGTGTGTCTGTGTGTGTAACAATAGTGTTAATCATTTTTGGATAATTCGATTAATTACTTACATTCTGCCTGTTTGTTCATGGAAAAATATCTATCGTGTGTTGGAATTAAACGAAGAAAAAAATAAACAAAAAAGCTAATAAAAAACAGGACACTCGTGGAATAACTGGGAAGAAGTAGGTCGTTCTAAAAATTGTCGAGTTATCATCGTTAACAAAAACCGGATGTAATTTTAAACTTGGCACAATTTTTAATCTTAACTATTAACAATTAGACGATTGAGATAATTTCGTGACAATGAAATTATTGTTGATTTATATCTTTGTTATATATTATTGTTGTTTGTGAGTATTTGAAATTTTATCTATTTCAAAAAAGGTAATTACAAACAACAATGAATACAAAATATGTATGAATGAAAATTTAAAAAAAAAAAGAAAACAATCTAGATAATTCATAAAAATATTTGTACGGATATAGAAAAATTGCATTAGGCGTATATATTCGATAATTGTTTAAATAATTAGTATTATTAACAGCCCCCCCCCCATTTCTTTTAATTGCCTTTTATGACAAGCAGGGATTACTGAGGGGGTATTCTCCCACCCCATGGGGGAATTATTATTAATATTTTTATTATTACATAATGATTTATAACATATGAAATTTCTTTTTGTCGGATTGAAATAAACAATTTTGTGTTTGTTTTGAAAAACACTATTTTAGGAAATAATTATTCGAGAAAAGGTAGTATATGAAAAACAATTTGTATAAAGATTATTTTCAATTTTATCAGATCCGGAACATATTTGTTTTGACAAAGAATAATGTATATAGGAAAATTGAAACGAAAAACTATGTGTCATTGATAATTTAGATATTTGATACCAAAAATGACCATGTTTCAATGATAAAAATAACATATTCAAGGATTGTATGAACGAAGGAAACAAAAAAAGAAATATCTAAAAAAAGAAACAAAAAACATACTTTTGCGTAACATTTATAAATAAATTTTAATGTTCTTTTTGTTCAAATTATGATAACACTTTAAAAGATAAAATAATGTAATTTGTGTGGTATAAATACTATGTTTGAAACAGTGCAAAAGCAGATATTCGAGCAACACAATTGCATCGACTTAGCACTTTGAAGTTTCCGAATTTTCTGAACTTTCTGATCATCCGAGTTTACGTAAGTATAGCGTTGTATAAGTATATAAATGATTCAATATAAACGTTTATACCGTCATTCGTGAATTATTTGATTAATTTAATAACATTTCGAAGAGATAAAATATTGTTATTTTGTAATTCTTTAGGGAGATAATAATCAACATGCGTTTGCTCTCAATAATTTGCGCTTTTTTAATGTGCATCTTTTTTTCAACAACTGCGGTTCAAGGTAATGCAGTTGCTGCGGGTTCTGCAGATGCTAAACCCACTTTCCATCGGTGTCCCTTTGGATTCATATTTTTTAGAGGTAGATGTATAAGAATTGGATAAATTATGGAATATCAAAATTGATAACAATATAAAAATATTGTTTCAATATATTATATGTCAAATTCATTTATATATATATATACATATATATATATTTATATATAATTTATTCAAGCAGGATGAAATCTTTCCGGATCAGTTTTCTCGCAATTATGCTCATTCATTTATCGTTGATAGAATTTGTTATAAGCAAACCTATTGTGTTATTGCAACCTAAATTTGACATACGTATACATAAAAGAGGTACATATTCTGAAAAAGACGCTGAAACGAATAAAACTTTATACATGGAAAAAGCAAATTTTAAAAGGGAAACTCCAATGACGATACCTACAAATTCTACTAACTTAGAAGGTGGAGATGGATATTCAGGGAGGAGTGGATTTCCAGCTGGATATGAATATCTATTTAATTCTGTCGTCAAAACCATCATAAATACAAAACCTATAGGATGTGGAATAGGAGAAAAACGAGACGATAATGGTATGTGTAAGCCTGTGGTACATTGAAAAAGAAAAAAGAAGAAGAACAAATAACAAATACGTTTTATTTTATATTTTACCGAAATAATAATGATCACTTTAGAAAAATATTGTAACAACTTTTTCGTGTATTATTTACAAATAATATATACCATATGCATTGATTTATATGTTTCTGCATTTGCATATTTGTNTTTTTTTTTTTTTGAAATTCGTACGTTTAACTTAATATTAGCATAAAGATATCTTTCTCTTTTTATATTTCTTTATTTTTTTTCCTTTCTTCTTTGGATGAACGTTTAAAAAAATCTACATCATTTAATAATATTCTATAAGTATAGTGGGGTGGGATGGTGGGAAGGTGGGTGGGTGGGGATAAATTTACTATAAAAGGATTTGTAACGTAAAAATCGGAGACAGAAGTTTTTAACGTAAAAACCGTGTGTTATTAAATTTGTCAGTGAATATGAATACTATTGTTCATTACTTGATAATATTTTTATTAATTATCACATCATTTTTAACGATCGTTCATCCGTTGGATTTAAAAACTGACGAATTTGCGAATTTATCTAACGATAAATTAAAATTAACGAGAGATGATTTTAATTCGTCCGATGTTACAAATCAATTTGACAAATTACAAAGTAAGTTTTTATTATTGTTTTTGTTTTATAATGAGGTTTGTGTGTGTTATATAAAATTTCACGAGCCTAGTATCTTATTTTGATCTTCTATTTAAATGTATTTTTCGAATTTTTTTGTAAACAATAATTAAACTTTCTAATTTAATTTATTGTATATTATATATTTTTTATATTTTACAGTTTGTATAAAAATAACAATGATATTTATTGCCGAATATATTTTGATATATTGTTATCGTTGATATTTAAAGAAAAAAAAAAAGAATAGATTGCACGATCGGGCTCGTGAAATTAATCGAAATAATATAATAAATAATTGTAATCATTTTTGTTTTATATGATTGATTTATTATTGATTTATTTTTATATATTAAATAATGAAAGAACCTGCAACGGATATAGTCCCACCAGAAATTTAGTAACACGACTACAATCGGAAAAGAAACCATGGGGAAACTATCTCGTGTGTTACAGTAAAATAAGTTAAATAAAAAATAAATTAATCATCATTATTTTAATTGTAATAGTAATTGTGTTTGTATAATAAAACCAACGATGATTTTTGTTTGTATCGATCAACGTTTCAATTCTTTTCTTTTTTCATTTCTAAATTAAAAAATATCATTGCGTTGAGATATAATATTGTGATATATATATATTTTATTGAGATATAAATTTGTGATATTTTTATTACTTTTTTCTTTTCTTCGTTTTGTTTAGCTAATGAAATAAATGTAAAAACCTATTTCTCGATAAATACGTCGAAAGGGAATTCGACGTATTAATATTTGATTGAAGTAAATTTACTTAACGAAAACGTGAGTGTGTTTCTCTTGTTTCTCATGGTTCTACGATGCAAACATTCACATCGTTGATCATAAGAAATTTTAATAATGTTCGATCTTCATCTTTGATTTTGATGTATAACTATTTTAGAATAGAATTGATAGAACTAAAGAATTATTTGATTGTTTAATTTACAAAAACAATATATATATAAATCAAATGTATTTAAATCAAAGAAAAATTTTTGTGCAAAGATTTTTTAAATATCTAAAATCATTCATATATATATATATATATATTATTAATTA